GCCATATGTGTTGATGAAACACAGCAAACTTTAATTATATGCATTTATGGTGTAATTTCTACATTTTCGTTTCCATATTTACAGCAAACAATGCGCTGTCACTTTAATTTAGCGCATGCAGCGGAAACGATCTCTGCACTGCTGCAGACGCACCGCTCCTGGAACGCATTGCCGGACCGCAACCGTGTGCAGTGAATGCTTTAAAATCCGTTAAACATGAGCGTGGAAAAAAATATGCTAAGCCTTTATTAATCCGTCAACATGAGTGCGAAAAAAATACGCATACGCACTGCAAACGGAGTGTGTGTGTGAACTTGGCATTATGTGTGTGCGCTGCCAGTGTGCATGAGCGCTCAGTCTCCAGGAGAGCGCGCGAGTGCTGAATGGTTTAAACACTGGTAAGAATTAAAAAGAAATGCAATTCATAAACTTTAGTGACGATGTAACACTGCCTCGATTGTGCAAGTGATAATTCCTGTGTCAACTGTGCAGCTTGCAGCTCGCTTATAGTGCAGACGTGAAGCCATTTGCGCATTTTGAGAGGGAAAGAGAGAGAGAGAGCATGAAGCATTATAATTGTTTCACCCGCGCTGGACAGAGACTGAGACAGTGCCGCTGCATGTCGTGCCAAACCTCTCACAGCAGGCGCATCATCAGCTTGAGATCGTTTTTTTGAGATCAGCCTTTTTAGAGACCGCCGATCAAACATCCCAAAGCGATTATCGTCCGATAGTGATCGGTAGCCGATCAATCGGAGCATCCCTAGTAACAATTATCCCTACATCCCTACAATTTCACATCACTCTAACCAGAGCTCACCTTTCCTGATCTGCAGTGTTCAGCAGCAAATTTGGTGGCCTCCCTTACACAAAGGACGTCCATGCCATCCACCTACAAATCCAGAGAACAGGTGAGGAGATATCCTGACATGAAGAGTAAATTCAGACACAAGTAAAAGCATCCTGCATCTTACTCTCAATCCAGGGATGAAATCGCCTCTCTTGTAGTAGTCAGTACTAGCCGCCGCTCTCTCCACAGAAGTACCCATGCCATATTTGTTATTCTCGCAAATGAAGATGCAGGGCAGCTTCCACAGAGATGCCATATTATATGTTTCAAAGATCTGACCCTGCAGAAACAGTGCAAAAGTGTGCATGAAACCTCCCTCTACATACTCATTAGAATGCACAAGTTGTTCAAATTTAGTAGCAGAATTAGCAGCTAAATCACTCATTCGGACTAGCATGATTGTTTGGAGCTGCGTGAAAGTGACTTACCTGATTTGCAGCACCATCACCATAGAGACAGACACACAGCTCGTTCTTGCCCAGGTATTTGCAGGTCAAAGCTACACCTGCCCCAAGAGGCACCTGGGATACACATGAATAGTTATTCTTAATACTTATTCAGTACTGATATCTGCGCTCTATTCATAAGGTACTCTAATCAATTCATTTAAATTACCTGAGCTCCCACAATTCCATTTCCTCCATAAAAATGTTTAGTGTACATGTGCATAGACCCACCCTTTCCTTTAGCAATGCCTCCTCTACGACCTGATGGAAGAAATAGAGACGCATAGAAGAGGGATAGAATAAACAAACAGATAAACAAACAAATCAATAAATAATAGAGAAAAATAAGAGATCAGATCTTTAAACTGTTTTGATGTTCTCACCAGTGAGCTCTGCCATGATCTCACGAACGGTGCCCCCTCTAGTGAGAGTATACCCATGGGCACGATAGGCTGTGATTAGATGATCTGATAGATTGATACCTGCCTCAATACCAACCGCACACGCTTCCTGTTAGAGAACACAATGCACCTGTAAGTGTTTCTGTCTTCACCATGTTGTCAACATTTGAACCAATTACAAATGACTTTCGCAACCATGTGAATCAAAACATAGAATAATATTAAATTTGCTTATTTTACACTGGCAAAAGTGAGTGTTTAGAACTCAAAGAGTCTCTGATAATCTTGTGCTTGTAAAGATTATATCTGTGTGTCACCTGTCCATCATAAAGGTGACAGAAGCCCCTGATGATCTTCTGCTTGTAGAGCTGATCGGCTTTGAGCTCCATACGTCTTATGGTCTGCATCGTGCGGTAGTACTGAAGCCCCTCCTCTCTTGTAAGCACAGCCTGCAGTGGAGGGCCCTCCTCCAGCTTGTGTACGTCACATTTCTGCCAAAAGAAAAAAAATGTTTATGCTTTCAAATGCATTAAGATGTTTTAATGTTTTCGCCTTGATGCTCACTAAGGCTGCATTTAATTGATCAGGAATACAGTAAAACACTAATATTGTCACGTATTATTACAATTAATTTTAAATAACCGTTTTCTATTTTATTATATTTTAAAATCATTTATTTCTATAATGGAAAAGCTGAATTATCTAACAGTGACAAAAAACAAATAAAGTTTGTAGAAGAACAATCTGTTTAGTGATTGAAGTGTCATCGGCCGATGCATTGTGAGTTGGAGTATGCAAGTGCTCTGGGTAAAGTGGAAGGGACATGCAATACACCATAAGGAGGGTTAAAATGATGTTAAGCTGTGTGTGTATATATATATATATATATATATACATATGAAAGAGACAGTATGTAATTTTAATATAGGGGCTGCCAGTACTCACAGCAAGCTGTGGCTCTGGAAAGGGAGTCTCTCCAGCCAGGCTGTGGGTGATCTCTGGGAAGGAATTATCAAGGCCCAGGAGGCTCTCGGCTGGTGGGGGACAGTGGGGGTCTGTGCTGGTTACGCTGGAACTGCTGTTAGCTACTGCAGGGGATAACTGTGCTGGACTGGCGGCTGGGTTAGGCAACTTAACTGTAATTAGGGCAGGTGATGGAGGAACATCTATAACGGGACTGATGATCTTTTCAAATATAGGTTTTTCTTTTTCTGATACTCTTTCTGTAAGTGGAGGAACCACGTTTATTTCTTCTGAGATGGATGAACCACTGGTCATGAGCGGTTCCACGTAACTTCCTTTCTGAGCTATAGCCTCAGAGGAAACAACATCTGTCAGAGGTCTGTTGTGTGGCCCCAAGTGTCCTAAAGCCTGGCCACTGCTAGTGTGTCCTAAATCTTTGTATTCTGCAGGAGGTATCTGTGTTAGAGGAGGTGAAGCTAAAGGGCTGTGGGGTTGTGCATCTTTTAAGTGTAAAAGGGGGTCGGGATCATGATCATGTGGAGCGGTCAAATTAGCATATTCGCTCTGGATCGCCAGGAGCTGCAGAACGGCCCGGAGAGTGGAGGACTGTAAAAAGAAGGGCACAGGTCACTCCAGAGGCTCAGACTCAGAAGGCCATAAGAAGGGAACATTTAAAGGAACAAGAAGAGACTTTTAGGCATTTAGAGACCACAAAGGCGGCATTTTACTGCACAAACCAATCTAATCTATGCTAACCTACACTAGGCAACTCACAGGCAATAAACAACTACTGATGGCTACCAGTCAGATAACATTCAAATGGTCAAAATGGCAGATGTTGACAGACACTGATTTCTAGATAGCAGGGTGCCCAATAATCAATATAATGCCAATAACCACATATGCAATTTTCATTATGAAATTGAGATGTACAGTGATATGAACTGAACACATTTTGTGCAATATTTACTCAGAATTAACAAAAAAAAAAGTATGTATTGGCAAAACAGTTGACAACTTACTGACACTGACATTTTTGTTCATCACATGGACATATAATATTATTGGCCAAATCATATCACAACTTCAAATACCAGAAAGCCACAATGTATCTCAAACAGGTTTCAATTGATGTCTCTCTTCCTATAAAAAAGATTCTAAATCCACCAGAGGAAAAAAGGGTACTTTCCATGACAAAACGGGGAGTGTTTTTAACATACACACGTCTGTGTGTGTGTGTGTGTGTGTGTGTGTGTCTATGTGTGTTTTAAAGGTATGATGTGAGATATAGTAAATGGCTCGGGTAAATAGAGCAGAATTATTCCCCTCAAACCCATAACACAGCAAACTAAAACAGCCACGATTATATGAGCAGCAAGTAAAAAGCATGTAGCAGAAGCATGTTTAATATGTCAAAACCAGTGATTGGAAACTAAGTGAGGAAGAAAAGATGATCTAAAAATAATAAGGGAGGAAGAAAGTCTTCGTAATGAAATAATTTCAAGCAAACATAATAATCATGTTCATAACCACGTAGAGAACAAAAACTGAAGAAAAGAGCGGATGGCACAGACGTCATGTCAATAAGCCCATTTCTAAAACTACCATCCTTACCTCTGATACCAGTTCGGCTCCCTTAAAGGAAGCCCATGGAACAGTAAAAATGAGCAAATGTGATATTGAGAGTGAGAGAGAGAGAGAGAGAGAGAGAGAGAGACATAAGAATTAGTAAAGAGAAAGAGATTGAGAGAGAAAGAAATAAGTGAATCATTATCACGAAAACAAAGATGCTTGACTTGTTCTGCTAACCACGTAGAGAACAAAAACTGAAGAAAAGAGCGGCACACACAGACGTCATGTCAATAAGCCCATTTCTAAAACTACCATCCTTACCTCTGATACCAGTTCGGCTCCCTTAAAGGAAGCCCATGGAACAGTAAAAATGAGCAAATGTGATATTGAGAGTGAGAGAGAGAGAGAGAGAGAGAGAGACATAAGAATTAGTAACGAGAAAGAGATTGAGAGAGAAAGAAATAAGTGTATCATTATCACGAAAACAAAGATGCTTGACTTGTTCTGCAAAATTCCATTCATTTTATTGTGCCAACAGACCAACGACATTCATTTCATTGTGTCAACAAATCTTTTATTATTAGACTTAGGGTCACAGTTAGAGGAATAAAATTGATACCGTGATTACAGATGAACTGCAACTTTTAATATGTCATCTAGAGTAAGAAATTAATCAGGGCTCAGGGGAAAAAAATACATCAATATACCCGTGTTTTGAATTCCTTTGTTGTTTTGTTATATGTTCAGGCCAATGTAGTTATGGGATTAATAAGGAGTTTATCATATCTAAGAACAAATGTGTAGTTCATATGGAAGTATTTTTCATGAGGAAAAAAAAAGTAGGACAGATAAGAAACAGCATTTACATGTCAAACTAGCAATAAAGAATAGAGGTATATAATCTAAAAAAGTGACTGGCCAATTGTTTAAAATAAAAAATCTATTAAAATTTGATTAAAGTATTTGAAGTCACTTTGAAGACACTAAGTGAGTATGTTATAAGGTTTTGGAGAAACATGCCCTCATAAAGGTATAAATATGCCCCTTAAAATATTTAACAGTAAAAAATATTGCCTCTTAATAACAACATTAATAATAATAATAATATACATAAATATCTTATTAATTCTTATATGTTATATATAATAATTTTGGACACGCTTATAATGTTGTAAACTCCTACTTGACAAGAACTGAGTGACATTAAACTATTAGAAACAGACTAAAACATTGCTGTCCACTAAATGTTGCATAAAACAGAGTATCAACCATCTGGACATTTGCCACTGGACAGTAAATATGATGAAAGACAGACGGTCTCTCTCTCACTGAGGTCACCTTTTATTTCTGACAGAGAATTACAGAAACAGGCTACCATTTCAACCAAACGTTTCCTGAAAAGTACATTGTTTCTAATTTGTTACAGTGTTTTATTATAGGTTAACGTTAGTTCCATGACAGCTTGTTGACTAACCAGTTTTAGACGTTACCCTCCCAGTGCATTTTAGCTAGCTAGCCAAGCTAAATCACTTTGTACAAACAGTAAAATATCGGATTATACTTACATCAATAATAAAAAGAAATGCTACATTGGTTGACGTGAAATAACCAGCACAAACGTGAGAATTTAACAGCAATGTGTCTTTAGCGGGGTGTCAGCCGGGCCTTGCGTACCAGGGCAAGGTCAACATGCATTACTGCGCTTCATTAGCCTTCAAAACATTCGTAAATTTGCTTTACAAAGCAAAGCAGCACACTTTATGAATCAAGGGATAAAATACTTACGTTCCTGCTGGCGCTGCCCCTCAGAACGTTAGAAATGATGGTTAGCATCTTTCGCATAATATTAACCCACAGCTAACCAGAAACAGATCTCCTTCAGTCCTTCTCTCACACAAACCAGCCCAGCTAACGAGGTTTACGCCCGCTGCAGATTCGCTGCACATTCCATTGGAAATACCGCCGCCTGCTGGCCAGAGCCCGCACTACAACAGCGTTTCTCAGGCCTGTTTCTGAGGTTCCCGCATCAATAGCATCTCAAATGTTGTATTCTCCTTTCAGAGTGACATATATATAAATATGGTACTTCATGCATCAAAAAATATGTTTGTTCATTTTGTTTTGTTTTTTTAACCAAAGCACCAAACTTTGGAATGCAAGTGCACTGATCCACAAACAAGGCCCACTTACTTGTGCGCTAACACAAAGAACTACATTTCAAAACAATTGTAAATGTTTATCATTTATTTTAGAATTGTGGGGTGTATAGCACTGCATTGTTTAGTTAATGCATGAAATTGTCTAAAAATATGGCATCTAACCCAGGGCTGTCCAAACTCGGTCCTGGAGGGCCGGTGTCCTGCAGAGTTTAGCTCCAACTTGCCTCAACACACCTGACTGGAAGTTTCTATGCCTAGTAAGAGCTTGATTAGCTGGTTCAGGTGTGTTTGATTAGGGTTGGAGCTAAACTCTGCAGGACACCGGCCCTCCAGGACCGAGTTTGGACAGCCCTGAATTCTAACCTGATAAAGGTCTATTTCTGTCTGTTTCCTTTTTGCAGGATACTGTATTTTAAAGATAATTTTGTAAAATGCAAATATGCTTTACAGATCTTTCTTAGTAAGAATTGAAACACTGTTTTTCATTCATGTTCAATGAACCATAAACAATTATTGCACATGCATCTGTGGGACAGTCAGACACTAACAGTTTATAGGCAACAGGCAATTAAGGTGACACTTAAAATACCTTACGACGTAAAAACACAAAAAAAGATGCCCAAGATCACCTTTGTGAACATGCCATAGTCCTGCTGCAGGGAGTTATGAGATGTGCAGATGTGGCCGGAGCAATAAACGGCAATCGCCACAATGTACGACACATAAGACATTGCTGCAGGGAGACATGAAGGACATCTAATCATCCTTGTAGTGACAAACCACATGTAATCATGTGTCCCCCAACCCCACCACTCCCAGAAATATCAGGGAATTTGCAAGAGCCTTGGTGATTGAGTGGAGTAACATCTCACATCAAGAACTGGCAAATCTGTTGCAGTCCACACGGATGTGATACACTGCAGTACATTTTCATTGCAAATTTGCTGGAAATATTAATATAATAAAATTTTAATAAGTGACATTTATATATATTTTATTTTATATAATTTATATTAACTATATTATATTTTTTAATTTATATTTCTCTCTCTCTCTCTCTCTCTCTATATATATATATATATATAAAAGAGTTGTCACTGAGACTTGTGATGAATATGACTGAAATATTTGCAATACAACTGAAATATTTATATTATTACATTGATGAACCACGATTTGACTTGCAGGTTGATGGAAGATTATATATATAAGAGTTGTCACTGAGACTTGTGATGAATATGACTGAAATATTTGCAATACAACTGAAATATTTATATTATTACATTGATGAACCACGATTTGACTTGCAGGTTGATGGAAGATGGAGGAACATTCTCAATTTGTAGGATATTTAGTTGGACAAAAATGGATCTGTTTTCCCTGAAGACATAATTAAGTGCATCTGGAAAAAGTGAAGATTTGATATCCATGATTGTCAATTATTATGAGCAGATACACCTTTCCAACATGAAATTCCAACGCATGAGGCATCTTCATTATTTATCAAAAATCAATATAAACTAAAACAAATAAAATTTGATTTCTTCCTATTTTTATTTTAGTTATTTATCTGTTGCATAGCTCGCCCTATTGGCCTTCTATTATGTCAGATGAAAGCAAGTGTCATGTGTTATTAACAATATATTTGTGAATGTATCTGTGAGTTTGACCGTTTCTGAGTCTCCTCGTGTGGCTCCATCTCCAGAACCCTGTCCTCGTTCTTCTCTTGACCCAGCTTCACTGAGGAGGACACGCTTGTTGTTTCTCGGAAGTGACGAAACCAAAGTACTGATGGCGGCTCACAGTTTGCTCCCGGATATGTACTGAAACGAATTTGATGGCGTCTGATTGGACTTTTTGCTTACTTTGCCGTTTGTCTGAAGTCTTGAGATTACCATCGAACCTGTCGAGCACAAGAGTCGTCAATCCGAGGAGGGATCATTTGTTGTAGAGCTGGCTAGACCCAGAGCTAGCTACCTTGCCAATGAAATACAAGTCCAGTTAGCCTGTGTTCGCAGAGGTTTGTTTGTGTGCGTGGCTACACACTTTAAGACGTTTGACATTTTAACAGTGTTGTGTCACTGGCTGGTCCAAGTGTAGCAGAGTGTCTGGTTTCTGTAGCTTGGCTAGCCTCGCTTGCGTTACTTTAAAAGCAAAGAAGCGGCGGGAAGTGGTTAGCCGGCCTGATTAGCTGTAGCCGTAGTTCTGAAGTCACTGGTCTCTAGTGGATAGTGTGAGTCTCTTCTATGATTCACCGCTGTGCTGTTCGTCGACTGTCAGCATGTTGAAGACACGACAGTGTTTACTTGGGATTCGCACTTTTCTTGGAGTGACGTCTAGAATATGGAGTTTCATTTTATACATCCTCAGGAAGCATCTACGAACGGTGAGCAAGTCAACATATGTCATGTGAATACATGTTTTTTCTGTTCTGTATATAATGTATTCCGACATGTCATCTGTAAATAATATTTTTTCTTTATTTAAGGGCTCCCGTCTTCAAATAATCTTCAAAAGACAAACATCTCCTGGCATTGTTGATATGTTAGAAACTTTGTAACAAGTAATATTGTTTTCATGCACAAATTCCTAAGAGTAACCAGTCCTATTGCTTGTTTTAACCCTTTAACCCTGCTCAGATTTTTGGAATTGATAATGTATTTACTGAGCTGTCACTTATGCAAAATTTTATGGTCCTCAGTGCAAACAAACATGCACTATTCAGCTGGGTCATTGTAGGATCTGTAATAATAACATTAACTTGGTATATGAGTACAGAATTATGTTTTCGATTTGTTATGTGCTGCTTTAATTGTTGATTTGTGTTTAAGTACTCCTACTCATTGTATCAAAAAAAGTTTGATGAAACTTTGGCACAGTAGTAAGTTTCAGATTGTGCCTGCGTCTGCTGTACCTCTGTAATCCTGGGGAGGTTTGTTTATGGTGCTGTATGTCCTAATTACTTTGGACTATGGACCCCTACTATATGTTGTTTAGCCTGCCGTGAAGGGAGTTACAGACCCAGAACTATTAAAGCACAATAAATATCAAATATTTCCATACCGAGTCTTGACAATAAGGTGTTTTTTTTTCAGCTGGCCAAGGGTTCTACAATGTTTCAATTTACCCCACAATAAAAGAATCTTATACATATTTTATTCTTCATGTAGGCCTATATGTTTTGTTAAAAATTAAGTTTTAATTTCTAATAATTGTTAAGAATAATACGGCTATCATGTAATTTCATAAACACACCGTTGCTGGAAAACAGTGGCATACCGTGAAATGTTTCTATTTTTCAAACCGTTCTAATTGATGCATCCAAGACTATAATGTTTGGGGCTTCTCTGCAAAAACAGCTCAAAATGACCTTGGGTTGTTTCACGTAACTACCTGAGCAAAAACAAGTGACGTGTGGCCTAGTAAATTGTAATTTAGTGCTTTTACTGCTACTACCTTTCAGTTTTTTCCACAAACATCCATTATGTATTTTTTTAATATATATATATATATATAAGTTTTATGCTAATCACACAAAACGGTTTGTATTTTATACATAAAAGTCACACTGCATAAGTAGATATGAAAAGTACACTGATTTTTCTACTTGCCTTACACTTCTGTGACTACTTTTGGCAGCTGTTTTGGAGGTGTATTAATAGTCCAGTAGTGGCAGTATGGGGCCATTCTAGGTGCGTAACTATATAGATGTCTGCTATACGATGCCCTCATCTGAGCTTTGCGCCAGCGTGATGAAAGGGCGAAAGAAGTGGAAATATTAGGAAGAGAAATTGGTCATGAAAAGAGCCAGAACTCTACAGGGCCTCTGTATGATTGGTTTGATTATCTGGATGTGTACATTTTGGGAGCGAGGAAAAGATCGCATGTTCCATGTGAATCATTGACTCTGTCTCTATCTGCTGTCCTGTCTTCCACAGATAATACAGTACCAAACAGTGCGTTATGACACATTACCTCTCTCCCCTATTTCCAGAAACAGACTCAGTAAGTTCTCTCACCGGTTTCCCCCTCTGTTATGTGCAGTTCTGTCCACTAGGGGAGCTTCTAACCACACAGTTGGATGCAATGTTGCAATTTTTTGAGGACATTAATTTGTGACCCAGAATCGGTTGTATCAAAATCAGTCAGCAAACATTTGTTTTTTTAAGAAGCGAGTACCTTATAATTTGGGTAGAACTGATTCCTCTGTAAAGCATTCTGTAAAATATTAACTTTTTTATGATAAATATTTATAATTTATAATAAATGCATGAGATGATATTGGCATAGGATTGGGAGAGGTTGGTGGACATGAGATGTTAAAATTAATGGGATTTTTGAACATTGAATCACCACTTTTCACTGTGTGTGACGCGTATTGACCATTTGCTGCTTAGATGCGGTGAAGAGGAAGATACTGGTGTTGGATCTGGATGAGACTTTAATTCACTCTCACCATGATGGCGTCCTTAGACCTACAGTGAGGCCTGGTACACCGCCAGACTTTATCCTCAAGGTACATGCATATACTGCTTTTTACTGAAAAAAAGGCCTCTAACGCTAGCTTGCTCTGTTCTTTTTCTTTTCTATCTGTTTTCTTTATTATATAATTTCAAAAAAAGACCTTGCTCTGTGTGCTGCGTTAGGCTAACTGAGACTTGTCATAGCACTTGCGTATCGTTGCTCTTTTGTTGATTTTGATTGCTTCCATTGTCCTCATTTGTAAGTCGCTTTGGATAAAAGCATCTGCTAAATGACTAAATG